TTATTAGTGCTACTCAATCTTTTTTAACCTGTACACCTCATTTTTCAGTCTTACCGTCTCTAATTTTATTACAAAAATCGGAGTGTCCCCCCTAAGGTATAAAATTATACTGTTGACTTGTTTTTCACTCACACCTAGAGCTTCTCAGCCACCCTTGCCTGTGGAATGGAAGGGACGGGTTACTCTTTGCTCTCCCATGTGGCCCACTGTGAGCATCACTGGTCCAACTGGGCTGCTCCTTGGAGTTTGGTTAGTAAATCTGCCAAAATTGAAAAAGAAATTCTAAAGAGTAATTCCTTATTGTTGTAGATATTCCAAATTGCCTTAAACTAAAAGTTGGGGCTATAAATAGTGAATTAATTGGTGCCTGGGGAAAATGTTCAGGTTCCTGTGAGGTTCTACAGTTGGTACTAGAACTTTGTAATAATGACTTCACGTTTTGCAAGTAATAAAAACTAGCAGCCCACAATGATCCTTGTGGTTTTTTGAATCGTGCTAAAGGGAATTTAGAAAGCTGTTGGACTAGTCGAAATGAGTTTTCTATTTTCAATCACTTTTCCAAAATATGTGGTTCTGCAGTTCAATTTTTATACTAAATTGGCTTATACACATTGTTAAAAAAAAAATTACATCTAGCAGTTAGTGATTGACAAATGGATAAGGCTGAACAACACTGGAACAATGTGGTAAACTTGTCTCCTGTTAGCATTTCTCTGACCTCAGAAACTTTGGTATTTCTAAAGGGTTTGGGGTTTTGTTTTTTCCTTTCTTTTTTCTTTTTTTTTTTTTTAACCTTCCTTGGCAAGGCTTTGAGGTAGAATTTGTGAATGTGAAACATTGAAAGTATTAATTTACACATGATTTTCATTTGTGGGACTGTATTTTTCTCTTTAGCTATCAATATGCAATAAGTATATGCATAGCATTTGTTTTTCTTAAAAATGGTTCAATATTATCTCATTAACCCTTACTGCCCCCCTGTGGAGTAAGCCAATTCTCTCTCTCTCTCTTTCTCTCTCAACTGGGCTGACCAAATCTTCTAGAAATAAAGAAGTTTTTCCAAAGTAAACAGTGTAACAGTGCTGCAACTGGAAATAGACTTCAAGACAGCAGGGTCTAAAATTTCTCAATCAAGTTGTAGTAAAATATAAAATTTGACTCAATATCTATAGTGTCAAGGAAGTTTGTTTAAGGCAGAATTTTCTTTAGAAGATGTCTGCTGGCATCATTACATGAAAAAAAAAATCCTAAATAAGTATATGTGAAAATTTATAAGAAATACAAAGCATACATTTATTGCTTCCAATAGTAAGGAGATCTTGACAAATAGTTGCTGGTGTTCAGAAATGCTTCAGGTCAGGGAACGGAAGACTAAATCTATTTCTAAATCTATTTCGTTCTCTCTAGAACATTATACCCTCTTGAAATATATTTGATAGGTCAATGACCAGTCCTTGTTCCTTTGCCAGAAATATGTTTCTGGCAATGGTGTGCAATTCTTGGCCTTGCTCTGATGCTATTTTTTGGCCTTTGACTACAAATGTTTAAGTTTGGAAGTCAATGATGCTTTACAATGATGCTTTTCCTGGCCTGGTGATATATCATTTTTATATATTTCATCATGGGAATATGTGCGCATTCAAGAGATTTAAGTTTCTGAACAATGAATGTAACTCTTGAGTATAAATGTAATATTTTGGTGGTATTAATAAAATGTTTTCAAGGATACCTGGATGCTAGGTGAACTTTTTGAGGCCACATTATTAGGTATGGAGTTATCTGACTCTACATGAACCACCTTGTTTCTGGTGTACTATGTACCTCCTAATATCTCTTCCAGGCTCTGGACTTTTTCACATTTTTCTTTAGGACTGAGAGTGTTTTAGGAGAGAAATGTCCATGACACGATCGCTGTTCCCATATCTGTCCCAGATTGCTAGCACAGGCACTGCCATGCTTCAAGGAACTCATTTAGGATCAATATATAAAAATGAGCTTACTGTCTTTAAAATGACATATGCTCATTATATACAAAACTCTCATGTGACAGTAAAGCACAAAGAAGAAAATAAAAATGTAACTACAATCCCATCACCAGAGAAAACATCTGACAGTGTGGTGAACGTTCTCCAGCCATTTCTCTCTGCACATCTACACAGTTGTAGACAAGTGCAATTTTACATAAACGAAATCACACTGCACATGCTATTCAAAAACATGCTTCTTTTCAGTCAATGATTTGTCCCAGGCATCTTTCCATTTCCATCAATGCAGAGCTACTTTTTGTTTTATAGGCTGCAGTGTATTCCACTGAATCCATGCACCATTATTTACTTAAATTCCAGTCTGTTTCTGAATTTCTACTATTGTAAGCAAAGCATCCTTCAACTACATCTATTCTCACTTAAAATCATTTATTTCTTTTGGATTAATTCTTACATGTGAGATTTTGGGTCGTTTTTATGCATAGTGACAAACTCTCTTCTAGAACTATTGTACAATTTTACATTCTCACCAATAGGACATTAAAGTAGCCATTTCCTGAAACCATCTAAAACTCTGAATGTTATTAACCTTTTAATATTTGTCAAATGGACCCAAAAATAATATTTCATTAATATGTTATTTGGCTAGTCCTTCATTCCTAGTAAGGTTAATTATCTCCTGTTTATTCGTCATTTGAATTTTTTCTCTTTATAAATTTCCTGTTCATATTCATTCACCACTTTTCATTTGTTTTTTCCCCATACATGTGTATATTTTTTAAATTTTTTTAGCCCTTTATTATCTATCATGTTGCAAAACATTTTCCCAATTTATCTTCTGATTGTCTCCCTTCTTTTTGGTAAGTTGTATTTACTTTTTGTTTGGGTGCTTACCACACAAAAGCTTAAAGAGTCAAAATTATCAGTCTTATCCTTTTTGGTTCCTGGATTTTTGTTGCATAGTTTAAAAAGGCCTACCGTATCCCAAAAGGAAAAATGTTTATCCATTCTTTTCTTCTAGAATTTTCAATGTTTCATCTGTCACACATCTGTCATCCATCTAAAAGGTATTTACGTGTGAGGAGGTGAAATCTCAACCTGTTTTGTTTTTTCCAAATGATGGACCTATTGTCCCAAATCCTCACAGGATGATCGTTTTTTAAAAGCCACTTATTTAAAATACTACCTTTATCATATAAATTAATATGTATGACTATATCCAGCATAGTGATTAAAGCATTGTTTTTTGAGTCAGACCTCAATAAAATTTTATCATTTTCTTGATTTCTTGTTAAGGTTTTCTAATGTAGTTTACATTTTTGTTGCTGTTGAAATTGATGTGTCATCTGTCAATATATTTTATAACTAGGTATTTTTTTATCTATAAGCCAACTATTAATTTTGTATATATATCAGCTGCAAAATTATACTTTTGGTGCTTCAGCTCCCGCTCTTATTTGAATCTTTGGTTAATATATTAGTGGCCCCTCTATTTTACTCCAGACTTTAATGAATTCAGGAAATAGTCATCTAATTCTACTTCACTAAGTGTTTTCATTGGAAGTGGATGTTAAATTTTATTAAATGCATTTTTTGGCATCAATCAAGGTGATCATATAGTTTCTCTGCTTTGACTTATAAATATGGTGAATTATATTAGTAGTTTTTTAAAGCTATAAGCTACATTTGCATTTCTGGAATAAATCCCACTTGGTCGTGGAGTTGCAGTCTTTTAATGTACTTCTGGCTTCTATTCAAGATATGCAACACTATTTTTGCATTTATAATTTGATTGTAAACAATGTATCTTAACAGTCCCACCATTTTTTAGTCCTACTTCAAATGGTAATTTCGAAGTCAATTCATTTAAAATATCATTATGTGTTATCAAATGAAACTACTGTCACGTGTGAATTCACCCCTAGAGAGTGAGTCTATATGAATTTGCTTAAATAGTTTAATGACATTAAAACTTTGAAACCATAGGTGATACCCAGGAGAATTGAAACATGTGGCCACACAAAAAAAGTGTTCACAAAAGTCCATAATATTATTCATAATAGCCAAAAACTGGAAACAATCCAAATGTTCACCAATTGATGGCTGGATAAACAAAATGTGTAATATACGTACAATGGAATATTATTCAGAAATAAAAAGAAATCAAGTACTTATACATGCTATGATGTAAACAAAAATCTTAAAAACATTATGCTAAATGAAAGAAGCCAGTCACAAAGAGCCACATGTTGTAGTTCCATTTATATGAAATGTCCAGAATAAGTAAACCCATAGACACAGAAAGTAGATTAGTGGTTACCAGGGACTAGGGGAAGTAGGAGATGAGAAGTGACTACTGATGGGTACAGGTTTCTTTTTAGGGTGATGAAAATGCTCTGAAATTACATAGTGGAGATAGTTATAGAACTCTGTGACTATGCTAAATATTATTGAATTGTTCACTTCAAAAGGCTGAATTTCATAATATGTGAATTATATCTCAATAAAGTTTTTTTTTTTTAATTATATGAGGGAAAAGTATTGAAGCCACAGATGGGAAGCAATTATTTACTCCTTTTTTTTCTCTTTCCATGGACTAGCCTAGGAATTTTGAAAACCCCTATTAAAAACTTGCTTTCCTGTAAAAGGAGCAAAGAACACTCTAAATCTCTTGACAAACACAGACTGAGAAATTTATAAGGTTTCCAACCATCAGCCATAGGCCTGGACTAATTTAATTGTAGGTAGTTTAATTTTTCTGGTCTATTAAACGTTGCTCACAAAGGGCTTTTACATTTTAGAAGATGTAAATGTTAAACACATTTGCACAAACCCAGCTGATTTTCTGTGTCTTTCTGCTCCTGGTACACAGGTCATGACAAATCTGCTGAGAGTGGGCTGGTGGCTGGAGGGGCAAGTGGGACAGATAACACAAAGCATAAAAGGAGGGAGGGGTATAGGAGAACCGTGACATGTTTATCAGAGAAGCGTGCTCTAATCCATACTTTTTTCCAGGCTTTCTACCCTTCTTGGAAAGGCTACTGCCCCTGTTATCAGACCCCAGAGCCATCCGGAAGCACCTGATCCTCACTGCAATCCCTGAGAGGCCACATCAACTCATGTGAGTCACCAATCAAGACCCACGTTATCCTTTTGTTGTTGTTGTCTAAAGGGCCGTGTTGCTGCACACCATCAGTCAGTCTAGTCTAGGACTCTTTCAGGAAAATGTAATCAAGTCTGTGTTTAAAACTTCATTGCCAATTCAGGAAGGTATGCTAATGAACACTGGCTAATTTGGAAATTATAGTTCTGTAGGGTGCAGTACCACCGATTTTAATCCTCTCACAGGAAAAACATCTACCACTGTGTTTGCCCTCACCTGCAATCACTGTAGATGCAGCCATACGTCTTTGAGAAACTTGGATTTAATTTCTGAAATACCATTTTAAAGTGTTTTATTATCTAATAGTTGTTAGGGCCGGGTATCTACATGAGAGATATGCTTTGAGAAACAAATAACACGTGGAAAATGTTTGCTTTTTATAAACAGTACAGTACTATACTACTAATGCTTCTACTACTACTGCTACTGCTACTAGTAGTATTAGTACTAGTGCTAGTACTAGTAGTAGAATAATAATTATGTAGGGCTAGACATGTCCTTGTCCAATACACTTGGAATCTATTATTCAAACCAAAAAAAGAGGGATAGGATTCCTGATAATCAATCTAATAAGGGGTAGCTGGAGCATTTATTGTAATAACAAGTATCCCAGAAGGGGGAAATGTTATAAAATAGCTCTTCAAGGATGATATCACTATTTAGTCACTATTAGTGGGCAAAAGTTTTAAGAATTTTTCCTATAGTGGCAGTTCCTCAAAAAGTTAATCAGAATAACCATATGATCCAGCAATTCCACTCCTAGGTATACACCTGAAATAAATGAAAACAGAGACTCAAATACTGGGAGTGCCAAAAAAAATGTATGCAAGTGGACACTTTGGTCAGCGTTGCTCAAGCAGTAGCTCACCGTAATCAGAAGTGTCTGGACGCTGATGGGAACCACTTTGAGCACCTTTTGTAATTAGAGAAGTTAAACATGACTTGTATTCATCTTTTGTTATCGGTGTATATTGAGTATTATCATTGTAATGCAGTTCTCCTTTCTTAAAATTTGTATACTTTTTTTGGCACCCTCTGGTATGAGAATGTTCACAGTAGTGTTACTCACAACAGACAAACGGAGGAAACAACCCAGATGTCCATGAGAATGAATAAACAAAATGTGGTATATAATGCAATGGGATAGTATTCATCTGTAGCAAGGAATGAAATTCAGATACATGCCACAACATGGATGAAAGTTGAAAATATTGTGCTAGGTGAAATAAGCCAGACACGGAAAGCACAACTATTTTATAACTCCGCTTAGATAAGGTTCCTAGAACATGCAAAATTATAGAGACAGAAAGTAAAATCAAGGTTACCGGGGGCTGGGTGCAGAAGGGAATGAGGTGTTATTGTTTAATGGATACAGATATTCTGGTTGGAAAGATGAAAAAGTTCTAGAAGTGCATAGTGGTCATGGTTGCATAACATTGTGAATGTACTTAAAACCACTGAATTGTACACTTAAAAATGACTAAATGGTAAATTTTATGTGTATGTTACCATAATTTAAAAAATCACAAGTGTGAGAGAGAGAGAGAGAGAGAGAGAGAGAGAGAGAGAGAGAGAGAGAGAGAGAGATTGATTCAGAAGTAGTAAGTGAGGCCGCCTCGCTAACACTTGCCAGAGTTGGGATTTAAACCCCCTCCAACTGACCCCAGAGCAGGAGCTTCCTGCATTCCTCCTACTGTCTCCATCCTCTGGCCATCAGAGCTGAAACAAGGCAGAGAGGCGCCTTCTTTGACCTCAGCAGGGAGTGAGGACATCAGGCGACTCAAATTTTTTGAGGCTCTGTGCATGACTGCAGATGGCCAGGGAAAGTGTAACAAATTTTGATTTTGGGGTTACAAATCAATTTTAACAAATAGGCAAATTCACCAATTCGGAATCTGCAAATACTGAGGATCGAATGCATTTATGAAATGTTTAAGCTTGGCAGGTATAGGAAGTGATTTTCAAAGAGATAGGTACAGATTTGGGTAAGGTACACACTCTAATTCTGGCTTTCTTTGAATAGACACTTCTTCAACATACCTGAAAAACATACCTAGCAATTGTTTACACTCTTTCGTGCATATAGGAATCGCCTGGGGAGTGTGTTAAAATGCAGAACATGGACCCCAGCAGAGAGATTCCAGTGACTTAGGATTGACCCAGGAATCTTCGTTTTTAAAAGCAGGCTCAGGTGATTCTGACAAATTTTGGAATGAAAATATGTAGAAATTCTAAATCTGGGTCTGCCAGTTGTCAATGCACCATAGCCAAAGACCACCAGTAACACATCTGTAAGTCAATCAAATTTGGGTTTATGGGCTGGGCTCATTGCAATCATGTAGACCACACACCATGGGGGAGACCAGAGGGCACGTCATGAAGAAAGCATTAGAAGGAACTTTTTATGGGAATTCGGCTTGTGTTAGATGTTTTGAAGGTGGGTTAAAGAAAACAGGCATTTGCCATGGGTTGGGTGCTATCGGGAAGTAAGAACAATTCTATGATGGAGTATCTTAATCATTTTTATCTAGGATACAGGAGGAATGAAATGGGGCTACAGCTGTAATTGGTAAAGAACCAGGAGTTACTCTGCTAGGAGAGAGGGCATTTGATCATTTTTATAGCCTTGCTTTTGTTGAGTTCAGACTCAATAACAGACTGGTCTTGTTTTCATTTCACTTCATCACCGACACAGAGTGACCTCATCTAATATTGGTGCTCTGAGACATTGTGCTCAACAGGAGAACATGATGGCCTAGCTACTAGTGCCAAGGCCAGTTGGTAGTATCAGGTCAGCTCCCAGCAGTTAAGAGTTGCATTTTTCTTTCTCAATCTTAGATATCGGTTGTTTGTCTCATCCCCTCCTTCTTCCAAGGTCATGTCACCCTCCCTTGTCCCATTTTTGCCAATGTTTTACCAGATTCAAGTTCAGCACTGTAGACACTGGGATGAACAGCCGTTACTCACTGTTCCTTTCACAGTCAGCTTGTGTAATATGTAGCGTAGTAAAAAGATGTGGATTTAAGAAAGCCAAATCAGGGGCGGCCGGTTAGCTCAGTTGGTTAGAGTACAGTGCTCATAACACGAAGGTTGTTGGTTTGATCCCCACATGGGCCATTGAGCTGCACCCTCCACAACTAGAATGAAACAACTACTTGACTTGGAGCTGATTGGCTCTGGAAAAACACATTGTTCCCCAATAAATTTTTTTTTTTAAGCCAAAACATGTAGTTTAGATTTTTCTTAGGATGGTCAAATTCGGTTTTCCACTGGTTCTGAGTCTGTCTTGGACAGGATGGCTAAAGCCAATGGGCTTGCTTGACATTGCAAATGGTAAGACCTGAATCTTTGTAAATGGAGTGATGTTTGCCATAAATATGCTAATTATTGCCAACTATAAATGCTTAGCTTCTCAGAATGCTTTGTTCAGAATTTAGGGAGTAGAAATGTCAAATCAAGCATTTACTTTATAAAAAATATGATTTTCCCATTGAAAATATTTGTGTCCTTATCATACATTTGGGCAATGTTCCCCATTCCTCCATCAAAAAATGTTAATAAAACTATTTTTTAAGATTTTTATTGGGGAATTGGGGGGATGGGAACAGTGCTGGGGAATTGGGGGAAGGGGAACAGACAAGTTGCTGTGGTTTTGTTCTTCACTCTAGTTGTGGAGGATGTTGCTTCACTGGCCCAAGTTGGCACCATCATTGCGCTCTTTCCGGGCGAGG